CAGTCTAAGCTGACACATGCCAAAGGTAGGATGGCTTGATTTATAAATGGTCTGTAATGGTTTCCTGAGAAGGGAAGAACACCTTAACACCAATTTATGGGGAGTGCATTCTACCAAGGTACATAAATTTATTTAGAGCTGAGGTGGCGTAATGGTTAGAGTGCAGTACTGCAGGCTACTTCAGCTGATTGCTAGCTGCAGTTCAGCAGTTCAAATCTCAGCAGGCTCAAGGTTGACTCAGCTTTCCATCCTTCTGAGGTGGGTAAATGAGGACCCAGATTGTTGGGGCCAATATGCTGACTCTGTAAACCACTTAGAGAAGGCTGTAAAAAACACTATGAAGCGGTTATATAAGTCTAAATGCTTTCACTATTGCTATCTTTGAAAAAGCAGTAAATTCATATATTGACATTTTGATTCTTTTCAATGGCAGGCTTCTTTGGGGGTGAGGAGCAGGAGACCCTTAGAAAAATGGCATCTCTTTGAATGCTGATGATGCCTATTTCTATATCTAAGGTGGTCCTGTGCCCCAATATATATAAGATCATCTTTGAAGGCATCCTTCCATCTTTAATATCTTTAAATATTGAGGAACTCAAGTACCATATTCCTCAGGAATAATTAAATTGAGCTTTGTGTGATAAAAGTTCTATACTGATGATTATTTCAGATTGGAACTTCATAGTCTTAAACACACTTATTTCATAGTTCTTATATACATGTTTATAATTGAGCTACATACGGAATAAATTATTTGCTGGTTCATTTATTTGATAATTTTTACTCACCATAATGTAGATTTGTGGGCTATACAAGAGATTTCACATTTCTTCCTGTTACAGAATATACAGGAGTTCATTATGTATAGGATAAACTAATTCCTGCTTATAAAAATGTGTTCTGGAAGTTCCAAGGCCCTGAAACAGATCTGAGGGGGTATACAAAGTATGAGAGATGTATTAAGAATGGCATCATTGGATACTTCTCTTAATATGTAACTAGTGGCTAATAGTTACATCAATGAGTCCAAAGAAGTTAGTCAACATTGTTTTACTGTTTCCCATCTAATAGCTGACTTGGATAAAACCAAAAAATGAAAAAGAAAATGAAAGACTTTTCTACATGTTTAGTAGATTTTAGGTCTAGGTGGCAGTGAAATCTGTGATGACCTTCCTGCATAATTCATAGAGATAGTTTGTAAAAGCTGGAATCTTGTGTAGTAATAGATCTCATTAACAGGAAATCTTTCCCATTGGCCACTCTGGTTTGGGCTGCTGAGTTTGGCAACATCTGGAAGGTCATGTGTCCTCTGCTCTTACCTTACAGATTATTGTATGTTGGAAAAGGACATGATTAGTTTATAAAATCTTATATGGGAATAGAATATATTCTGTTAAAGGAAAAGAATTGTTGCCATTCAATCCAACTTCTTGAACCATGAATAAAATGTTCCCCTTAAATCAGTGGTGGGATTCAGCCAGTTTGCACCACTTCGGGAGAACCGGTTGTTAACTTTCTGAGCAGTTTAGCCAACTGGTTGTTGAAAGAAATCATTAGGGCAGAGAAACAGTTGTTAAATTACTTGAATCCCACCACTACCTTAAATGGTCTGAAAGATCATGCAGATACATTTAAATAAATGTATGTTTATCAGAATATATTTGGAAAATAGCCCAATTGCTTTAGTTGCCCTTCCTTGGATTACTAACCAATGAAGTTTCTTTTTTAGGTCATGAAGGAGATCCTTGCTTAAGGTCCTCTGATTGCACAGAAGGGTTTTGTTGTGCTCGTCATTTTTGGACCAAAATTTGCAAGCCTGTGCTACACCAAGGAGAGGTATGCACCAAACAGCGGAAGAAAGGTTCCCATGGCTTGGAGATTTTCCAGCGATGTGACTGTGCCAAAGGCTTATCATGTAAAATCTGGAAAGATGCTACTTATTCTTCAAAAGCAAGACTTCATATGTGCCAGAAGATCTGATGCGGGATTTGAAAAATTGTCACCAGCAGGCCTTGACAAGTGTCTACTGCATAGACTATGGTGGAAAAAAATTAATTGTAAATAAGAAATGACTGGCCCAAGTATCCTTTGGGGCAAGGAAAAGCATCATCTCCACATGAGTTATAATTCTGCTTGGAAGTACAGTTGACAGCAGCTGGATGTTCTTTTTAAGTGTGATACCATACTACAGTGGAGCCAAAGATTTGCATCAAAGCTCTACTGATAGCCTTGTGACTTCTCCATATTAGTTGTAGGTAGTTTATCCCACTCTGATGATAAAATAGGATATATTTACAATACAGAGCAGGACTTTGCCAAATATATATTTCTATCAACACATACTTATGTACTGAATCATGACTACAAAAATTTCCCAGCAAACTAAAAGTGTTAGAAATAAAGGAGGAAGTTACTGCATATGTAATTATGGATTTTATTGTGTTGCAATCCAAGGCCCTCACTTGCATAGGGATTTGTAATCTCTGTCAAGATATATGAATAGAGGCAGTTACGCTAGGGTAACAATCTAGATTCATATTTCTTAAGCTTAGCAATTTAGCTATACTGGCTGGGGAATTCTGGGCTTTGAAGTCCAGATATCTTAAATTGCCAACAGTAAAAAACACTGATCTAGCTTCAAATAAATGACATAAACAGTTAGACTTCATAACTCAAACTGATACTTCTTCATTTATTGTAGCTAATGACTCCCATTAACTTGGCTTACTGGTTTATTGATAGCCACCTGACTTACATTGAAAACAGACTATTCATTACTACGTCCAAAATGCAATGATACACTAAGATGCTGGTTGTAAATACTAGGGAATGGAGGTTTGCATTATGAATTATTCTTCATTTTTGCCCTTAAAATGGGCATTACGGATCATTAAATCTGTTTTGCTAAATAATGTGTCATAAAGGTTTTCGATCAGAACGTAAACCATAATATGTCAGTGACAAAACTAAAAAAGATGATAACATCGAAAGTGCTGAGATTAATATGTGTCATAAGAATATGGTGGATATGTTCCGAATGCACCTTAAGAATGTGTTTGGCATTGGCACTACTGGATTGTTGTATGTATATCAATGGATGCCAGTGGAGTTCATTCAGCAGTATTAATGGCCTAGTAAAATGGACACCAATTTCTGTTCTTTGCTTCCCCATTCAGCAACCTTATTTGTTCTTTCACAATGCTGATATCCCCATGGTATGAACTGGGTTAAGTTTAGGAGACTGATTTCTCTTTGCTTAAAAGGAGGAAAGAATTGTGTGTGTGTGTGTGTGTGTGTTTCTAATTCTGTTCATTTTGTTTTATTTGGGGGGCTCCTTCATGTGAGTTTAATATGCTGAGGCAATATGCCATTTGTAATATCCTTTAAAAATGGAGCAATCAAAGGTAACCAACAACAATAGCAACAATGTTTTTTGTAGCTAGCAAGCTTTTTTCCTGACTTTCTGAAGCCATGAAACGACTGTTTTGCAAAAATTAAAGTTTATCTGTAATTAATTTATATTTCAAAACCCATGAATAAATATCAGCCAAATGCTACATGTTTTTCATGTCTATTAAAAAATACTTGCAAACCATTTTCCATTTCAGTGCCAAACTGCAACTTCAGAAAATACCTAAATTATCTAAACGCATATGGTAGTGGTAAACTAATTTGCAGCCTGCCCTTCATTGTTTATACACAAAAAAAGCAAGAAAGTGGATTTTGGCAGAGGTGTTTATAATTCTCTAAGTTTTTGCTTTAGAATCAGAATTCTATAAACCTTTGATGGGAATTCAGAGTAAGCCATGAGACTCTGCTAGCAGTGCAGTTGGTAGATGCCTTAATCCAGTATTAATAGGCTATTATATGTTCTAATTCCCTCCCATACTATTCATGTAGTTTATTTTAATGTACATGATCTAGGAGGAAAAATGGATATTACATGCAAATTTGTTTTATGAATTTTAGACAGTATTGCTTAAAATAAAAAAATAGCTTTGGCAGATAGTAGAGAGACAATGCAGATTTCGCTTTCTTTGGCTTAATGGTTCTGCTTAAAATATCCCAAGACATTGCCCCATCCATTTATGTTTCAGATATGTATTTCCTTTGGCAAACTTCTCACTTCATTTAAGGAAAGTAGTTTGAGGAAGAAATTTTTTTAAAAATGTTTTTTACGCCAATTTGTTCCTGCTACCAACAGATTATTAGCGCTGAAGCACCAGATTGAATATTTAAATTTTTTTGTCATTAATAAGATACTTATATAGAAGCTTATTTAAAGTTTAGGAAGTTCAAATTATCTGGGAGTTTAATACAGGAAACTCTATTCAGTTTACTTCAATACAATGGAAAACGTATGGAGATGGACAAAGTGTATCGCTTCCTTTGCTTAAATAATGGAAGCAGGTAACTGACATCCTTTTGCATTAGCAAAATTACAGGAAAGAGTCAGTGGTGGGATTCAGCCAGTTCATACTACTTCAGGAGAACCGGTTATTAACTTTCTGAGCAGTTTTGTGAACTGATTGTTGGAAGAAATCATGAGGGCAGAGAACCGGTTGTTAAATTATTTGAATCCCACCACTGGAAAGCATCCTTACCCTCTCAGCACAGCTAACAGTATCAAAGTTACATCCCTGATTTGTTGAAATGTTATCTGCATGCCCTTTCCCACTTTATCTAGTGTTTGAAATAATTTATTTACAGGAAATGTTTAATGAGATGTATTTTCTTATAGAAGAGATTTCCTAAAGAAAGCCTTGTAGCAAAACTATACTTGGAATTTGTTGACTTTGTAATTTAGAAAGAAATGTATAATAAGATTAAATATATTAAAGTGGTTTTTTTTCACACTTTGCCATTGTATTCTTTCTCCATCTCCGAAAGGGGAGTGCAGAAAAGAAATCTGTAAGAAAGGTAACACATCACATTCAGAATTCATTAGAATTAGTAAGCAATATTCTAGGGTTGGTCAAAGTCACCTGGGTTTCTCTTTCTGTTTCCATGGCACCATTTCACATATTGAGATAGTTATCGTGCCTATCTTTGATTTATGTTCTTCAGACTAAATATACCTGACTGAGTGCTGTGGTGGCCTAGAGGTGGACCTCTCGCCTCACAATCAGAAGCCTGTGAGTTCGATCTTAGGTAGAGGCAGATATTTCTGTCTCTGGGCATAATTAGAATATATCTGCTAAACAAAACTCCACACTGGCAACAGGAAGAGCAATCAGCCAGTAAACACTCTGCTAGCTCCATTCAGTTACCCAGTTTCTACCCTGCAAGGGATTATGGGGTCGTTAAAAGGAGACGATGATACTAAATATACCTGACCCTAAGTTATCATCTACTTAGCGTTAGAGAAAACATTAAGAAATTAAGAGATTAAGAGTTCCTTTCTCTTTTCTTTCAACAATTAACTGGCCTTAAAGTCTTCCTGGATCCCTCGTTTGGCATTTGGTATGCTGCCCAAAACCATTACGTTTTGCTTAGTATTACACTCCCTCAGCAGTTTATGATCGGAACCTCTGAAAGATGACTAATTCTTCAGTTTTTTTAATGTAACAGGTTATGTTTTTTTTTTTTACATAATTTATGGGAAGGGCCCACTTTTATAGATGCTGGAAAATGAGCCGAGGTGGCGCAGTGGTTAAATGCAGCACTACAGGCTACTTCAGCTGACTGCAGTTCAGCAGTTTGGCTGTTCAAATCTCACCAGCTCAGGGTTGACTCAGCCTTCCATCCTTCTGAGGTGGGTAAAATGAGGACCCGGATTGTTGGGGGCAATATGCTGACTCTGTAAACCGCTTAGAGAGGGCTGAAAGCCCTATGAAGCGGTATATAAGTCTAACTGCTATTGCTATTGCTAAAATAGTTCATATTTTTATAGGACTACCAGGTGATAATGCAGCGTTGCCCCCGGTATTTATTTATAGGGGGAAAATGTTTATTTATAGGGGGAAATTACCAAACGTAATTTCTAATGGTGGATTTTCCACTCTTAACAGAGGGAGCCCCTTTGTGGAGTACTGTGAAGCTGTTACCATGGCAATGCCACTGAGAACAGTAGAAGCCATTTTACAGCAGCACAGTAGAATCCATTTTAAGGCACAACAGGCTGTATCTTAACAGAATATGTGTTGTTGTTTTTTAATGTTGTACGCCGCCCTGAGTCCATGGGAGAAGGGCGGCATATAAATCCAATAAACCAAACCAAACCAAACAGAATATACACCCAGAGGGGTGTTAGGGGTATCTTACCTCCAAAGTATTTTTTCCCCAGAGAGTAAGTTATCTGTGTACCAAGTTTGGTTGAAATTGCATTCCAGAATTATGCTGGAACATATACCTCCCTCCCTCCCTCCCACCCTCCCTCTCTCCCCCCCTCTCTCTCACACATACAGAAATAGAGAACTCAGCTATTGTGAGTTCTTTATTTATCCCTACAGATCATTGTCGGAATCTCTCTTCACTTCTCTAAACAACCAGATTCCTTATCCATATTAAACCTTCAGCTCTCTGATTTCATATAATCTTATCTGATTGATGAGATCAGAAGCTTGTTCACATTCTTTATTCCTATGGCCTTGCTGTGCATTTTAGAATTTGCATACAGACCAATATAAGTTAAGTTGTTTTGCTTTTAAAATAAGCTCATGTTAAGATAAACATCTGAACTTTTAGCCTAATTGTAGAGAAAACTGAATGTTGCATTCCTATAATAATTTCACAATGATTTGAAACCTCATTGGCTATGATACTGCCACTGTGCAAAGCTTACCTGTCAGGGGAGACACCATGATCATTTCTCAACTTCTAAATTGGTGAATTTAATATTCTAGTCTAACTGGAAAATTGAACCTAGGAAATAACAATGAAGCCAGGTTATACAGATAGGATGTGCAAGCTTTTGGTTAAAGACAAGGCCCAATGTTAGAAAGAATTCTATGTACTCATCTAGATTTCATTTCTTCCTAAACTGCTTGAAGTTTGCTAATGCAGGAGAAGCACTCTGAATTGTTTTGTTAATAAACAAATATATAAATGAATTTACTTTGACATCCGCATACATGCAAAAAAGCATAAACAAAGGAGCATGGATTAAAAAACCAAAAAACCAAACATAAAACACAAAAGCATACATAGATAAACATCATAATCTCTTTGTAGTTTTCAGTCATGGAAAGAACACGAGCCTTTTGAGCAAACTCATATTCTGCTAAAATCTGGATTTGCTTCAGCAGGAACCAATTTTAGTTTCATTGACTCTTGCCGCTTTCATCCCTCAAGTTCTCTTCCAATGTAATAACTACAGCTTCCATCAACATAGC